CCAATTCCCATTTAATAAAATTTCTCTATCTCTATCCCTATCTATGTGTGTATGTATGCATATATATGCACATATATAAACACATGTATATATACATACACATATATTTGCACATATATGCATATATATATAAACATATCACCCCCCACCACAACTCCAATACAATACCTAACTTCCTTGAATGCTCATTGAACATGCTTTACCATCCTCCTTATTCCCTCAATAATGAGTTAAATGAATCTCTGTCATATTTTCTTTCTGTATTCTTATAAGAATCTTGCTTTTAACTTTTTAGAAATTGTACTTTGACAATGTTTTCAACATAAAGTGCTGGATCAATTCCATAACCATATGGGAAAAAAAATGAATCTTGACTCCTACCTCACACCATATACAAAATCTATTGCAGATGACTTATAAAAGGTAAAATAATAAAGCTTCTAGACAATGACATAAGAGAATATATTCATTACCTTGAGATAGGCAAAGACTTCTTTTTTTTTTTTTTTTAAGGTGGTTTTATTAAAGCACAGGTACAGGATCCGTGGGCTGGAAGCACTGCTAGGCAAAAACTTCTTAAACAGGCATAAAATGCATTATCCACAAACAATGAAATAAATTGGATTATATTAAAGTTAAGAACTTCTGTTCAGGGGCACCTGGGTGGCTCAGTCGTTGGGCCTCTGCCTTCGGCTCAGGTCATGATCCCAAGGTTCTGGGATCAAGCCCCGCATCAGGCTCTCTGCTCAGCTGGAAGCCTACTTCTCCCTCTCCCACTCTCCCTGCATGTGTTCCCTCTCTTGCTGTGTCTCTCTCTGTCAAATAAATAAATAAAATCTTTTAAAATATTAAAAAAAAGAACTTCTGTCCATTGAAAAACACCACTTAGAAAATAAAAAAAGCAAGCTACAGAGTGGGAAAAGATAATTGTAATAGATTTCTCTAACAAAAGACTCATATCCAGAATATACAAAGAGCTCCTACAAATAGAAAAAAGACAGACAACCAAATAGAAAAATAGGCCAAGGACTTGACCAGCCAAATCACAAAAGATAACCAATAGACATATAAAGAGTTGTCCAAATTTACTAGATATCAGGGAAATGCAAACTAAGGCCACAGTGAGATACCACTACATATACACTAGAATAGCTGAAATTAAAAAGACTGACATCAAGAGTTGGCAAGAAAGTGGAGAAACTAGACTTCTTATGTATTGTGGGAATGTGAACTGTTACAATCTCTTTGGAAAAAAATATTGGCAATATCTACTGAAGCTGAACATATACATGCCCTATTACTCAGAAGTTCTACTTCTAAGTATATATCCAATAGAAATACATGTACATCAGTCAATAAATTTATTTTTAAAAATGTAGAGGAAAAATAAATACCTGTTTGGAATAGTGGTTACTTCTGGGGAGAGATAATGAGGAGCAAGCCAGAGAATGGAATGAGGTCAAGAAGGAGTATATAAAAGCTCAACTTATCTGAAATATTAATTTCCTTAAGAGAGAATTTGAAGCAAATGTAAAATATTAAGATTTGATAAAGCCGTGTGAGAAAGGGACGCCTGGGTGGCTCAGTTGGTTGGGTGACTGCCTTCGGCTCAGGTCATGATTCTGGAGTCCCAGGATCGAGTCCCACATCGGGCTCCCTGCTCGGCAGGGAGTCTGCTTCTCCCTCTGACCCTCTTCCCTCTCGTACTCTCTATCTCTCATTCTCTCTCGAATAAATAAATAAAATCTTTAAAAAAAAAAAAGCTGTGTGAGAAGAATGTGGATGTTTGTCATAGTATTCTTTATAACTTTCCCTGTGCCTAAAGTATTTCATAAAGAAATCTTCTTTATTGGGCGCCTGGGTGGCTCAGTTGGTTAAGCGACTGTATATGTTCAGGTCATGATCCTGGAGTCCCGATATTGAGTCCCACATCGGGCTTCCTGCTCAGCGGGGAGTCTGCTTCTCCCTCTGACCCTCTTACCTCTCGTGCTCTCTATCTCTCATTCTCTCTTTCTCAAATAAATAAATAAAATCTTAAAAAAAAAGGAAATCTTCTTTATTTATTTTCTTTAATTTTATTATTTTTTTAATGTAAGCTCTACACCCAGTGTTGGGCTCCAATTCCCAACCCTGAGATCAAGAGTCACATGCTCTACCAACTGAACCATCCAGGGGCCCGGCATAAAGAAATTTTTTTAAATCTTGTAGAATACTCAGAGAATGTTTAAGAGCCATTGATTTAAAATAAAAACCTGTAATATGAATAAACAGTATAATGCCAATATTGTGTATATAAACATACTACATACACACATAGATTGATATGATGTGATAAAACTGGCACTTTTTTTTAACTTTATTATGTTAGTCACCATACATCATTAGTTTTTGATGTGGTGATCCACGATTCATTGTTTTTGGCACTTTTTTTTTTTTTTTGGTAGGCAGCAAAGCAAGATTTATTGAGTGATAGCCAGGTTATAGTACAAAGCTCCCGAGGAGGGAAGGGACCCCAGGGGGTTGCCACTGGAGTTTCTAAATCTAGGGGTTTTTACGGGCTGTTTTAATCTGATTAACCCTCCTTGCACCTGTCATCCAATCAGGTTTTTGTCACCTACCTATCACATGGGAAAGGGTAGAGGGCTCCTTCCAGGATTGTGTAAAATCCTTTTAAAGACAGTTTCCTCTTAGGGTGGGGGGCGGGGTGGCCTTGTTCCTGCTTGCCTGCCTTCCAACTATCCTTCATCATTCCCTCCTCTGAAGAGGTAACCCTACCTGCTGTTAGGGGAAAAGGGTGAAGAGCAATGGTAGCTACTTCCTACTGGTCAGGGGCTTTGGATGGGGCAGCAGTCAGGTGAAACTGGCACTTTAACTCAGGAGTCTTCCTTCCTGGAACCCATAACCTCAGGCTAATCATGAGAAACACATAAATCCCACTGAAAGACATTCTATAAAATATCTGATAATAAAATCATCAAGGTCATCAAAAACAAGGGGGTCTGAGAAAATGTCACAGCCAAGAGAAGTTTAAGGAGACATGACAACTAAATCTAATTTGCTATCCTGGATGGGATCCTGGAACAGAAAAAGAGCATAAGGAAAAACTAAGGAAATTTGAATAATGTATGGACTTTAATAAATGATAATGTATCAATATTGGTTAATTAATTGTAACAGATGAACCATGCTAATTTAAATGTTAATAAGAGGGCTCCTGGGTGGCTCAGTTGGTTGGGCGACTGCCTTCGGCTCAGGTCATGATCCTGGAGTCCCGGGATGGAGTCCCACATCGGGCTCCCTGCTCAGCAGGGAGTCTGCTTCTCCCTCTGACCCTCTTCCCTCTTGTGCTCTCTATCTCTCATTCTCTCTCTCTCAAATAAATAAATAAAATCTTTAAAAAAAATAAAAAATATAAATGTTAATAAGAAGGGAAATTGGGTGGGGTATATGGGAACTCTGAATTGCCTTCATTAATTTTCTATACATCTAAAATTGTTCTAAAATCAATTAAGTTTTTTTTTTTAAGTCAAGTAATTTAGCCAAATTCATACAGGTAGTAAATACCTAATACCCAAAGTTCAGAGGCCAACACAAATGACTACAAACCCTATGTTTTTTCGACTACCCAAAACCCTTCCAACTTTACTGTCTGTAGAATTATCTAGGTATTTGTATGACGACCTAAACAAGTTCCTTGAGGATAGAGAAAAAAACTTTTTTTCTTTGCATACAATTGGTATTCAGTAAACCAGCTTAAGTTAACTACTCAGAGAGAAGTCCCAGAAACCTAAAGAATCTGCGACTTTCAGAGAACTTTATCAGGTTTGACCCGCAATCTATACGGCCAGCTCTACAGAGAGGCCCGATAGGCCCTGGGCTCAGGGCCCTTCAGTTCTGCAAGGGTCCTGTGCTGCCATCTACAGGTAGCTGGTAAGCGTGGACTCCCCCCCGCGCCCCGCTATATCTCGGGAACTAGTAGGGCGAGTGTAAATTGGAGAGAAGACTCAAGCTCTAATTAAATTACAAAACATATGTAACTGTCACATAGTTCACTTGACACTTGTACAAAGCAAAGGCCCTACTTCTCTCTTCTAACTTCGTATTAACACTTAGGCTCCTAAAATTCACAGAATTCCTTGCTGACCCACCTTCCACCGGTACAGATCTGGCTCTTACTGCCCATCTCCCAGAACTCAGATTCTCCCGCACAGAGTAGCCTGCAGACACTTGCTCAACCTCACAGACTTGAGACCCCACCAACCAGATTCTCCCCATCTTCACAGACCCCTGAGACTCCTTGCACTACCTTGCAAAACCCACAGACTTCCCCCATTAAGGCAAATGCGCGCGCTAACCCAGACGTCCCCAGAAAAAGGCCCAAACTCCGCAGGCAGCTCACACTAAGGCGAAAACCCGGGAGAGCCCCAGTCAGGCTCGGTGCCCTCAGGCTAGCGCTTTGAATCCAGCTCCGGCTCCCCCACCCCCAGCCGGATGGGGTCAGCCTAGGCCCGCACCCTGCGGGCCAAGGCCCCGCCCCTCTAGACCTGTCATCACAGAAGCCGCACGTGGCCGGGGTGGGACCTCAGGCGACCTGCAGCCAGCACTTTGTCTCCTCCGCCATCCATTGGGGCCACCGCCGTCAATCAGAGCCAGCGGATCCGGGCTGGAGCGCTAGCGCCCGGGTGAGGCGAGCGGAGAAGGGGCGGGGGTTAGGAGAGTCTCTGAGACCTACCCGGGCTCGCGGTGCAAGAGGGCCTGGCCTGGGTTCTGCCAGGCTGGAATCCGAGGGGCGGGTCCCAGCGAAAGGCGGAGAGACCAGTAGAGGGCGGGGATCGGGGAAGGGTCTAGGGACAAGCGGATGTTCCTGGGGAGACGCAAAGAAGACGAGAAGGGGCGGAGCCATATGGGGCGGGGCCTGTGTTACAGGGGAGGAGCCAAAGGAATTAAAGAAACTAGGAAAGGGGACGAGCCCCAAGAAGGTGGGAGGTGGGACAAGGGAGGGGGTGGGCCTGGGCGTTGCGGGGGCGGGGTTCGGACAGAAGGGGTGAGGTTTGCAGGCCGAGGCTGCTGCTAGGGCTTCTCTGTAACTGCCCCAACCCACTACCTCCTCAGGTGCAACGGGACTCACGGAACTACAGGTGTGGGGTGGGGTGCGCGTGGAAGAAGGGACAAGGATGGGGGTGCGGCTTGGGCAAACAGGAGGTGGGGGGCACGTTAGAGAAGGAGAGAACCTGAGGACTGCTGTGGGGGGGTGGAAGACAGAGTTGGGGGAGGACTTGGGGGCTCAATGTGCGGGTAAGCAGGTGCATTTTTCAGGGGCCCTTGTCGGGGAGAGACAGGAGTGCTTTGCGGAGGTTAAAGGTACAGTGTGAGGGGGCTAGGTCGCTGTCTGATGTGGAGGGTTGGAGGCTGGCTATACTTGAGGGGGAGGGGATCTAAAGTTGCTCAGGGGGAAGCAGGTGCTGTATGATGGAGAGCTGGTGGTCCAGAGTGTGGGAGAGACGGAAGGACAGAGGGACTGTGTACAAAAAGAAGGGAGGGGGTTATGGGCACTGTTTGAGGGGAAGGGGTTGTAGGCCCCAGTTGAGGGGGGAAGAACCCCTAGTCCTTTGAGAAAGTCTTGGGGCTTTGTAGAGACTCAGGAAAAGGCTTGTGTACTGTGTTCTAGGAATGGCATGATAAAATTGGTGGGGTAAAGAAGCCAGTCTGTAGTGCTTCTGGCTCCTTGGCTCTTAATAACACCTTCAGGCCTGATCACTCTTAGGGTGGATCAGGCCCCACTTGCTACTAGGTCTTCTGTGACTGACTCCTCAGTCAGCTTTGGATTTGTCTGGCTGAGACTGGAGTTTCTCCCCCCAGCTGGTGTTCCTGTTAACCCCCACTCTAGTTCCTGTTCCTCCCAGAAGCCTGCCTTGGTCCCTGTCTTCCCCCTCCCCCACTTTGCCCTGCCCTATGCTCTGGGTGTGCTCATTTCCCACTTCCTTCCTCGCCCTGGGGCCTGGCCTGGGACTTGCCCGTTTAGGAGCTGTGCCCTGCCCGGAACTTTGTGCTCAATGGCCACAGACCCTAGTTACCAGCAGCAAGGCCCAGACCTCACCCCACTCCTACCAAGATCTCTCCCAACAGCCCCCACAAGTAACTGGCCACTACTTTTTTACCACTTGCCACAAACTTATTTTCCCCACCCTTTTCCTTCTTCAGGGTGGGGAACCCTAGGACCCTAAAAAATGGGCTTCTGTGGGAAGGGTGAAAATTACTGAGTCTTTGATGTATGTTTTGAAAGATGGGCCACTATGGCAGGCTGAACTCCAGAAAGGTTATGAGGCTCCAGCCTCAGCTGGAAGAGGAAGAGAGAATGGCTCCCACACTCCCGGCTTGGAAGCTGATGGTCAGAACGGAGACTAGGGCCTGGTCCTCCAGAGAGCTCCTTAGGTTCCCTGAGGGGACTTGATGTAGTGCCAAAGTTCTATTTGCCCCTGGGCTAGTTGGGAGGGTGAAAAAGTCCTGCCTTCCACACAGTGGCTAGATGAGTGTGACAATGTTACTGAAAGGGGCCCCTAGCCAACCTTCTTCTAGCTGTGACTGGCTGGGGAGGGAGGGGGTGCTGGGGCCAGACAAAGCGGTGGGGTAGGGTGGGGTAAGGGAGGGCTGGCTGAAGCCTTTTGAGGAGGAGCTGATTGCTATGGCAACACAGCTTCCCAGACTGTCTCTCAGAGAGGCGGGCCTAGGGCAAACACTCCAGCTTCCTCAGGACTGAGGCATTTGTGTGAGCGGGTGGGGCGTGAAGAGAAAGGGCATCAATTTGCCGAGCTGAGGCTGGAATATATAGCCTCTCTGCTTCAATACAAGTGGGAGGGCATTCAGACATTTGGGTCCATCTTCTGAAAATGGATTTGAGTGAACAATAGCTATTAGAATCATAGCAATATAAGGCCAGAGTTGCAGAGGCCCTCAGTGGCCATCACATAAGCGCTTGGGCAAACAGGAGGTGGGGGGCACGTTACAGAGTTGAAAATTTACAGCCAAACCCCTCATCTTACAGAGTTGAAAATTTACAGCCAAAGAGATTGTGACTTTCTCTAGGTCTCACTCACAGTGAAAGAGCAGGACTTAGGACCCAGGTCTTCAGATTGCTGTTCACTCAGCCCAGGGCTCATCATTTCTTTCAGCCAATGTTTATTGAGTGCCTATTATGTGCCAGGCACTGATGTTGATTCTGGGAATACTAGCATGAACAAAACAATATTGCTGCACTTAAAGAGCTTCCATTCTAATAGGGGGAGAAAGAAATGTGTGTGTGCGTGTGTGTGTGTGTGTGTGTGTGTGTGTGTGTGTGGCAGAGAGAGGCCAGGTGGTGATAACTGCTATGAAAAAAATAAAGCAGGGTAAGAGTTTGGGGCAGCTAGGTAAGGCCTCCTGATTGTACCATGCTGCTTTCCTACGGCACACGGAGGCCTAGAACATCTTTGATCCTTCCCACTGAACTATTGCCCGCCTGACCTTTGCAAGTAACTAAGGCCTGGGCCTATGCTAGTGGCAGTAAAACAGAACTTAATGCCTGTTCTGTGGTGTCACCAAGGGACTATTAATTTCCTATAGTGTTCTGTGTCTATTTGTCTTCCCAATAAGCTTTTACTAAGGCAAGGAGGTTCTTACTTTGGTACTTTGCCATTTTGTTCAGGATTTTGAAAATTTCCTGAATCCTGTTCCTTACCGTTAGGGAACCAATGAAGAAGTCAGTCCATGGCAACTGGGTTCTTTTTCAGGGTTTTTTCTCCTGGTCTGAGGTGAGGAGAAGGGAGCCTAGGGGAAGGGTTACTTAGGTTTTCTTCCTAAGTCTACGGCACAAGGAGGAAGTAGGGGGAGGGGAGCCTTTTTTTTTTTACTGTCCACTGACAATCTCAGGCAAGGTAGAAACAAGGACCTTGGGCCTTCTGTGGGCTCTGAACTATGGAAGAATGGACTCCCCCTCTTCTGGAGACACAACCAGGGAGCCTCCCTGGCTGATGCCAGTTCTCCAGGCATCAGTTTGAGTCTTCCCTCTTTGTTTTTGTTGTTGTTGTTGTTTTAAGATTTTATTTTTAAGTAATCCCTACACTCAACATGGGGTTTGAATGCACAACCCCAAGATCAAGAGTCGTGCACTCCACTGACTGAGCCAGGCTGGTGCCCTGAGTCTTCCCTCTTTTGACTCCGGTGTTTGCTTGCTTCTGTGGAAGACTGACAGAAAAAGCTTCTTAAGTTTGGAAACTGACTTGTCAACAAGTGCAGAGGGAAAGTTAGTCAGGGCTACATATTTTCTTAGCTTGCCCCTAAAGTAGCCCCTCTAAAAAGTATCTTTTAATGCCCCATCCTTGCAGAGGTTTCCATCCTGGCCATTTAAAGAATAAGAGGACAAGAATTAAGAATGACGATTCTGCTGCCACTTAATTTGGCTGATTCTGGCCTGAGCCTGGAATCGAGTGACTCAGGGAGAGGGTGGGGAGTTTCGAGAGAGATGTGAGTCATGGCAGTGAGCTCCATCGCAAGAGCTGGGCACATCTCCCCACTAATGGCAGAAGCCTTCCTATCCCACTTCCCCTGGGTGGTCTGTCTCCTATGAAGAGAGAGCACTGGTAGAAGGGATGAAGCAGCCTAATCTCAGAATGGTAGTTCAGAGACACAAAAAAGGATGTGTAGGTCCCTGAATTAAAATGTATCCCTATCTCAGGAGTCCTTGGGGCCCCTCTAATAAAGGCAAAAGAATATCAATATAGAGTAAGAAAAGGAAGAATACCATTTCTCAATGGAAGGAGATAAGGTCCCACTGCTGGACTATTTCATCTGCTCTGGCATGAAGGAAGCTTTCTAGACTTCAACAGTTCTCTGGTCTCTGAAGCTCTCTTGCAAGGAAGGGAGAGATGGGAGTGGGGATATTTGGGGTTTGGTGTGGGAAGAGCAGCCTGACTTTGGAGATTGTCGAACTGTGCCTATGAAAGCCCTAGGGCGTCCTATTAAACACCCTCGGAAGAGGAAGGGTGGAGGTGAGAAGTGGGAGGCCTAAGCCTTTGAAAGGGTTAAATGGCAGGGCAGGGAGCTCCTTTGGATTCCGGCAGATGAGGGGTTAAGGAGATGGGCGGGGTGGTCCCAGGTAGGCCTGCCCCCTTGTGGACCAATGGGCGTGCGTCTCCTGGAGGGGGCGTGGCTCACACTTGAGGTCGTGGAGAGGCTGGACTCCTCTGGGCCAATCAGCATGATCGCTGTCCATGGGGGGCGTGGTCTCAGGGGGGCGTGGCGGCCGCGTTCGCTGCGGCGGGGGTGTTGGGGCATTGGGCGGGGCGGGCGGCCCCATCAGCTGGTAGGAAATGGCCTGTGAGTCAGAGGGGCAGCGGAGTCGGCAGCGCGGAGCCGGGGCGGCCACGGGGAGGGACAGTCGCGGGGAGGGGTGCGGCAGTGGCTGGGGGGCTGCGGGCTCCAGAGCCCGCTAGTGTTGCACACGAAGCTGAACAGAGAACAGCCTAGCAAAGCAGGGCTCTGCCTGAGCCACCCTTTGTCTGGGTTGGGGGCCCGTGGCGGGGAGGACCCGGGATTCGAGGGGAGGGACCGGGACGGGACGGAAGGGCCCGGAGCAGCGGCCGCCGCGGCGGAGCCAGTTTAAGAGCGGGGTGAGTGTGCTAGGGGGAAAGAATAAATTTCCGAAGCTCCAGTAGGGAATGGGGCCTGTCCCAGGCTCTGGGGAGGAGAGGGGTAAGAATGGACCTGGGAGACTAAGCAGGGGGTGGGGGAATCGTCCAGAACAAGGAGTCTAGGAGAAGGGGTGAGTCTGCCAGGCTCCGTTTGGAGGAGGTCCTGACATCCGCTCCCTCTCCACTGAAGGTAGAGGGTTTTAGGCCAGCGGTCAAGGGGTTGGTGAGAGAGCAGAGGGTTGACCTTCGTACTCACAGTGGTGGTCTATGGGAATAGTCCCCCTAGCTTGTGTGGACATGTATAGGGACAAAATGCAGAGCAGCTGGCAGTTCTCTCTGAACAGGATGAGGGTAGAAAGCACATGGAGAGGAATTTTCCTTCCTGTCACCCTCCTTCATCAGTGTAGAAATGGATATCTTTAATACTGAAGGGAAGGGAAGAGTGAGCCTGGGAGCTTGTACCTATACCAACACCCACCTACCCCACCTCCCAGGCCTAGCAGGTGTCTGAGGTACAGAACCCGTGGTATTCTGGGACTTGTTGTTTTTGCTGGCCTTGCTCCCTGGGCATGTTGGGAACTGTAGTCCTTGCCAGCCACAGCCTGGCACAGCTGTTTATGGTAGGCAGCGCAGCCAGCTGCTGCCCACCACCTGCACAGAGTGAGTTTGGCCTACCCTGCCCCCCTCTTCCACAGTCCTGCCCCATGAGTCAGCTTGAAGCCATGGTCTAGAGCCCGACAGGCTGGGTAGCAGGGAAGTGAGTCTTAGAGCTTCTCATTGACAAAGCAGGAACTGAGAGGGCTTGGGATAATGAGCAGATGCCAGGCATGCTGGGGTCAGGTAGGGCATCATGTCATCACCTGGCTTCCCCAGGGCAAGGATTCAAGAGGCCAACTTGGGTGACCAGGGGGTGGAGTGCCAAGCAAAAGGCCCTTTCTGAACCTGTATGGCTTGGGTAGAGGAAAGGAGAGGTACAGATGAATACATGTTGTACCTCTGACAATGCTATCATTGGAGTTCTGCCCTTTCCAGATACCCCACCCACCACAGGGAACCAGAATTTTCTTAGGAGTCTCACTTCCAATGAGAATGTGGTGAAATAGGGTAGTTTTGGGTACAATGATGGGAATTTGGTGTAGGAAAGCTTTTCAGTCTCTGGGGTGCAACTCGCTCCCCTTCTCCCTGCCTCCCACTTCACCTCTGTTGTTGCTGACTTTTTCTATACAAGTAATCTCTCTGTTTCTCTCATTCTGGGAATTTTTCTCTGCAGTGCCAGGACTGATGCTGAGATCTCTAGGGCTTCCATTCTTTTTTTGAGCCCCACTATGTGCTTAATCCCTATACTTGGAGTTTGGTGGAGGAGCAGAGCACAGACCTATCCTCAAGAACCCCGTGGTGTGTCTAAGAGATTTTTTTTTTTAACATTTATTTATTTATTTTAGAGATCAAGAGAGCCCAAGTGGGAGGGGTAGAGGGAGAGGGAGAGAGAATCTCAAGCAGACTCCACACAGCGCGGGGCTCCATCTCATGACACTGAGGTCATGACCTGAGCCGAAACCAAGAGTAAGACGCTTAACTGACTGGGCCACCCAGGCACTCCGGTCTAGGAGATTTCTTACCTACAAGAGCAAGCAAAACTGTCACTGGGTTACAGTAGATAGTGACATTGCCTTAGGTGGAGTCTCAGAGGAGAGAGAGAGATTTATGGTTTAGGGTGGCCAGAGTAGGCTTTCTGGAGGGAATGGCATTTGAGCTAGCCAAGGAGTAAGGACAGGGCTTAGGTAGGCATACAGGGGACATTCTTTGAAGGGGAAAAGACATTGTGGATGGCAGGCAGCACAGGATAAGCTTGATCCTGAAGGCAGTATTTCCTTCCATAAAGGAAGATGACCTTCAATTTGGACATTCCCCTCACCCATTATGGGTTCCTGGGGGTGAATTAGTCAGTAAAGACCATCTTGTGCCCTGGCAGAAAAACAGTGGTTTGGGTTTTTGATTGTTAAATGTGTTGTGACAAGCGGAGAGGTAGTCCTAGTTGCTTCCAGCTGCCTGACTGCCCCGGCCTTATCTCTAGTTTGCAGGGCCTAGGGGGAGGGTAGGTCCTGGAAAGTGCCTTCTGGCAGTGCCTCCTCTACTCCCCCTCCACTTGTTTTTGATTAGATTTGTTGCCTCCTGTTTTTTTTTTTAAGATTTTATTTATTTATTTGACAGAGAGACACACAGCGAGAGAGGGAACACAAGCAGGGGGAGTGGGAGAGGGAGAATGTTGCCTCCTGTTAAAGGGATAGACTGCTGGGGGCAATTGGGAGTTTAAGTCCAAAGGGCCACCTTTGAGCTGACCTGAGGTTTGTACCTCTGAGGAGTGCTCATGGGGTGTGAGTTTCTGCAAGACCTCTGCCCTTAGGGCTTTGGGGTAGCACTATCCCTTTGGAGATAGACTTATGGGAAGGAGTTATACAACTCGGTGGCCCTGACTAGGAGGGCTGAATTCTTTCCCTGACCAACTCTTAGGTGGCATGATCTCTTAGAACCTGGGGGATTGCATCCCCTCTCACGTTCAGGGCAGAAGCCTCTTTGCTGGTGGCCCTGATAAATGGTCATCCTGCCACAACTTACTTCTGACATCCTTATTCCATTGAACCGAGACCTGCCTCTCTCTGACTCTTAGGTAGCCCCGCTCTGCCCTCTGGGCTCTGGATCCCAAGACTGCACCTTCTGTTTCTTTTTTTTTTTTTTTTTTAAGATTTTATTTATTTGACAGAGAGAGCACAAGTAGGCAGAGTGGCAGGCAGATGGAGAGGGAGAAGCAGGCTCTCTGCTGAGCAGGGAGCCGGATGTGGGGCTCGATCCCAAGACCCCAGGATCATGACCTGAGCTGAAGGCAGCCGCTTAACGGACTGAGCCACCCAGGTGCCCCTGCACCTTCTGTTTCTGAAGAGCTTTTCATATGGGAGAAGGATATCCTGGAGGGTACTCTGGTAGCCCACATTTGGAGAGGAGCCTTACCACTGGCTCCAGGGATCCTGACTTATGTCTGTTCTTTTTTCCTCAGGGTCCGGCTGAGCCCAGGAGCTGCACGGAATGGTGGCAGTCACCTTGCCAGTGCAGCAGGAATGGACCAGACTGCAAGCTAGGAGAGCAAGGCATCAGTCAGGAAGAGGGAACACACAGCTAGGCTTAAGGCCTCTTCATCGGGGTGAGTGCTAGGGAAAGGGAGGGGAAGCAGGTCCAGTAAGAAACCTGAGCTAAACGTGTTACCCACTTAGAAGTTCTTGGACTGGTCTATATAATTAATGGGATTAATACTCCATTAATCTTTCTGGGGATTTGGACACCTTTACCCCCAGGAACCCCACAAGGTCACCTCTTCAGGCTGGGGGAGGATCTGAAACTCAGGTGGAAGGGAGAAGACTCATTGATACCTCTGACCACCTTTTCTTCTCTTCTCTTGCACAGATGTCCCCAGGCCCCCCAGCCCAGGCCCAGCATAAAGGCTGTGGGGGGGGGCCCCCCTGACCCAAGGCGGGGCTTCATGCGCCACGTGCAGGCGGAGCCGTCTCCATCCTCAGAACCAGAGGCTGGCCCTTCGCAGCCTGCAGTCAGGCAGGGGGCCCTCCAGGGTGGCCTGCTCATGGGCTACAGCCCAGCAGGGGGGGCAACATCCCCCGGGGTCTACCAGGTATCCATCTTTTCCCCTCCAGCTGGTGCCTCCGAGCCTCATAGGGCCCTGAAACGGCCGGCCCCACCCACTGAAGTTCCCAGGGAGGTGAAGAGAGGCCCTGGGCTGGGGGCCAGAGAGGGACTACCCCCTGAAGAACGATCTACTGTGAGGCTACTAGGCCCAGAGGGACTGGGGCTGGGACTGGGTGTGACCAGCCAGCATTTCTGCCATCATGGCCTCTGTGTTGTGGAACAGGGAGGTAGCTCCACCTCACCTTGGACTTCAGGGGCCCAGAGTCCCCCCTATCCCCCATCAAATGCTTCCTGCAATAGTTTGCACACCAGAGACTGGGCTTCCCCAGATCCAGGGGGACAGGGGTCCCTGGGGGAGTCCCCAGGGCCAGCCCCTCTGGGCCAGCTGCACACATTTGACACTGATTTGCACAGTCTTGCACAAATAGGGGCTAAGAGCCCAGTGGCTGGGGTGGGCAACGGGGGCAGCCCTTGGCCTAGGGAGTCCCCTGGCACTGCCAATGGGCATAGTCCCGAGCACACACCCCCTGGCCCTGGACCTCCAGGCCCCTGCCCCACCAAGCGAAGGCTGCTTCCTGCTGGAGAAGCCCTGGATGTCAGCTCTGAGGATGAGGGGCCAGCCCCCCGGAGGCGCCGGGGAACCCTGGGCCACCCTCCTGCTGCCAACAGTTCTGATGCCAAAGCCACACCCTTCTGGAGCCATCTGCTGCCTGGGCCCAAGGAGCCTGTGCTGGTAAGCCAGGAGAGGAGATGGTCTATTCTTAAGTAGATATGTGTGTGGGAAAAGGTGAAGGCCTGGGGGGGATGTTCCTATGAGAGCTCGTAATGAGCTCCTGCTCACAAACATACTTGGCCTCTCCCCAATATCTTTTTGTAATCTTTCCTCTCCATAGGACCCAACAGACTGCAGTCCCATGGGGCGGAGGCTGAAAGGTGCCCGTCGCCTGAAGCTGTGAGTGATCAGCTTCTCCCTCTGCTCTGTCCCTGCAAATGGGGCAAAAGTCTAATCCTTTTTCCAGCCCCAGAGTAGGGGACCCCAGGGCAGGAGCCCTAGATAGTGGCAAAGGGTGAGCCCAAGGACGTGAGTAAGCATACCAGAATGCTTTAAGCCAACACACTGTGTGTCCCCTCCCTACCAGGAGCTCCCTTCGAAGCCTCCGGAAGGGGCCAGGCCTGCTGAGCCCCCCCAGTGCCTCCCCTGTTCCTACCCCTGCCGTCAGCCGTACCCTGCTGGGCAACTTTGAGGTAGTTCCCCTTGGATTCTGTGATTGGCGGCCTTGGGGGAAGTGAGATGGTGGAATGTGGCTTGGACGGGTAAGGAAAACAGCTGGTGTCTGTCTCATAATATGCTTTCCCCATCTCCACCCCAGGAATCATTGCTGCGAGGACGCTTTGCACCATCTGGCCACATTGAGGGCTTCACGGCAGAGATTGGAGCTAGTGGATCCTACTGCCCCCAGCATGTCACGCTGCCTGTCACTGTCACCTTCTTCGATGTTTCTGAGCAAAATGCCCCGGCCCCCTTCCTGGTATGACCTGACCTCAACTCTAAGTTAGCTTGTGAGGAGGATGAGGGGTTGGTGGCAGGAGGGGTTCTTTGGGTGTTCTCACCTAAGGAGAGGGTTCAGGGCCAGGTGGATGAACTCTTTTGTGGGGCAAGGGCCAGGCCCAGAGTGAAAGATTATGGAGATGGATGAGTATTCAAAGACCCTACCTTAGCTGATGGCTCCATGGCCTTCCTAGGGTGTCGTGGACCTGAATCCCCTGGGGAGGAAGGGTTACAGTGTGCCCAAGGTGGGCACCATCCAAGTGGTAAGTTTTCCCTGAGGGGGAGTGGGAGTAGGAGAGGAAAACAGCCCCTAGACCCTACCAACTTTGTTCTGTCCTGCCCCCCAGACCTTATTTAACCCCAACCAGACTGTGGTGAAGATGTTCCTTGTGACTTTTGACTTCTCGGACATGCCTGCTGCCCATATGACCTTCCTGCGCCATCGCCTCTTTTTGGTGCCTGTGGGTGAGGAGGGAAATGCGAGCCCCGCCTGCCGCCTCCTCTGCTACTTGCTGCACCTCAGGTAAGGACAGGGCCCAGGGGCGGTTGGGAAGGCCCAGGGAAAGGATTTTCCCCACCCCAGGTTATCTCTTCCCTGAACTGGATCTCTCCTGGCTTCTCTACTATCTGGATTCTTTCTTTGATCACCTTGTCCTCCCCCAGGTTCCGGAGCTCCCGCTCAGGCCGCTTAAGCCTGCATGGAGACATCCGCCTGCTTTTTTCCCGCCGGAGCCTGGAACTGGACACAGGGCTCCCCTACGAACTTCAGGCAGTGACTGAGTCCCCTCACAATCCACGTTATTCACCTTTGCCCTGATTGTCAGTGCCCTGAACCCATGTGGGCCAGGGCCGAGTACCAGCCCATCCTGCTCCATCCTGGACAGAGCAAATACGTGGAAAGGTGGCAAAAGACCCTTCAGGCTTGAATTAAAGCCCTCACCATGCTCATGCCCAAATTGATTATTTGGGTGTTTAAAGCTTCTGATCCTTACCACACTCTGCTCTACTCTGGGTACTCCACGTGCCTCCCCACCCCCTTGAATTTCCCAGGCCAGCTTACGTAGTAGGGAGACACCGGAGCTACCCTGAGGTTGTCCCAAGTTCCCAGGCAAGTTATGCCAGCGTTGCCTCCCTGTCCTGGGCAGGGGCCACTTATTATTTTATTTATTTTTAATTTATAATTTATTCAAATTGGATTGCCTTGGTAACCTCCCAAACCTGATAATTGGCATTGCCCCTCCTCCATTCCCACTTTCAGATACTGCTCCAAGCTCAGGAGTTGAAGAAGCTGATGTGGGGGTTGGGGAAGAACTGTTTTTCCTCAGCTGAGGGCAGAAAGGTTATCCCAGAAGGACTGAGTCACTAGCCAAAGACTCAGCTTCCCCTGTCCTTCCCTATACCTTTCACTTCCCCTACCCTCTGACCCTTCTCTGAAAGCCAACTTTGTGTGTGTGTGTGTGTTTGTGTGTGTGTGTATGTGCACACACGTGCACACATACAAGCTTGTATTTGTGTGATGTGTGTGAGAAAGAGAGCTTGAATGCATGCGCACACACACAGCTTAACCACCCTTCATCTAAGTCTCCAGATTCCAGTTGTCCTCCTGCCTGTGTCTCCTTGCTTTGGGGTCCTGACTGAGGAAGGTGTTCAGGGGCAGAGTCAGGGCCAAGGACTGGGGTGCCTCCTCTCATCTGGCCAGACTCTGACCCACCTACCTCAGCTGGGGTGAGGGGCACCCCTCACACTCAGTCATGTGATTCCCAACTACCCCACTCCCCACACCAGACTCTGACCCAGCCTTAGCGCTAACTCCTGGGGCTGGGCTGAGGGGAACAAGCAATTGCTTGAAACTTGAACAAAAAGAAAAAAAGAAAAAATTGTACCTGGTACTTTTTTTCAAGGAAAAAAAAAACAAAACAGAAGAAAGAATAAATTCTTGTTTGGAAACTTGAGCTAAACCCTACTTTTTCTGTTGGGGAGTGTATGGGAATGGGGATGGAGGGCCTAACTGGAGCTCAGACTGCCCATTCTCCCAAAGAGGAGGCCTGAGGCCTAAGGCCATGAAGTCTTAGGCAAGGCCCTAATGAGTCTTAGGAGCTGGTCTTGGTCTTTTCAGATAAATGGGGTGGGGTGGTCGGGAAGTTTCAGCCACAAAAGCTGAGCTCTCTGAATGTAGACCTGAATTCCTATACTGGTTTTATTGTTATTGATTTTAGCCCCTCTTGAACTTAAGTGCCCTGAAATGTAAAATGAGAGTGATTATGCAGTCCTCAAAAGATGTGCCAGAGCATTAGGGATGTGTGCAGAATGACATGATCCAGAGAAGGCTGAACGTATGGGCTGTGTGCTAGACTCTGTGCAAGGGGACTAGGCCTCATAGACTGGGAAGAGGTCAAAAGAGGTAGAAAAAGCTATGGTGCTTTGGGAAAAGAGGGGAAGGGGAAATCTCAGTCCAATCACTAGGCATTGTTAGGCCCCGTCACCATGGCAACAGGAATGGGGTCAGTCCCTAGTGGGAGGGCTGGGTACAACACAGCAGGACTACCTGACAATATCACTACGGCAACCGTGGCAAAGAGCTCCAATCCCCTGGTCGCTATGGTGACAGGGGCGTTTATATGCTCAGAAGGGTAAACTGAGTCTCGGGTGGAGGTAAAGAACTCGGTGGGAGGTGTTTCTGGGCCAGCTGCACGTGGAAAGTAGCCTCTATGGTCACCACGTCCGGGATCTTGGGCTTGGTCAACGAGAACGAGTTCCAGCTTCGGGCCTACTCTAGCCAGTCTGCATATCCAAGGAAACAATTTGATAAACGCTTCAGACAGGTAACGCTGATTGGCTGAGGTTGGGGGCGGGGGACAGACGACCGGAAGTACGTCTGGGGGAGTGGAAATACAGGAGGAAAGGCTCGGGTCCCGGCTTCTAGAGCGACTTCTCTGCTCCCCGTCTCGTTGGTTCCGGAGGTCCTTCCGCCGTGGGAAATGCTGGCGCGCGCGGCTCGGGGGACTGGGGCCCTTTTGCTGAGGGTGAGTGCGGGGGCTCCTTCTCCAAGGGTCAGGCCAGAGATCACCTGGGTCCTTACCTGGGAAGAAGCGGAATTCCAAGTTTGGTGGGGGAACTGGGGTCAGAGGTCATGGTACTCACGTGAGTTCCTTCTCCGAGGACCCTTCAGGGTCGCGGTTTAGGGAGATAACCCTGGACAGGCGCCGAGAGGGGTGGGGTGCCCCGCCGGCTGGGGTCTCAGCTAATCCTTGTCTTCTCTTTAGGGCTCCGTACAGGCTTCTGGCCGTGCTCCGCGTCGCGCCTCCTCTGGATTGCCCCGAAACACCGTGGTACTGTTTGTGCCGCAGCAGGAGGCCTGGGTGGTGGAGCGAATGGGCCGATTCCATCGGATCCTGGAGCCTGTGAGAACCTCTTCTGCCCACTCAAGGCCAGCCTGATGCCGAATTCCCTTATGACATGGGTGAATGGGGTGGGATCTCCTTCAAGCCTGCCCCCACCTTTGGCTTCTAACTCCCCCAGCCAGACCTAGCAGGCCCCAGGCTGCTGAACTTCATACCCACGTTACCATCTTTTCCTATTCACTCTGGCATCCCATAGGCTCCGTTCTTGGGTATCTCCCCTATCCACTCTCAGCTTCGCCTGTCTGCTACTCTGCTGGCTCCCATTCCCTTGACTCTTCCGCCATTCAGATGTGCAGCCTTGTATTCGTATCCTCTCGGGCTTCCCTACCATTGACACCCCCAGTTTTCTGCTTTACTTGGAATGTTCCATATGTTGATTCCATACCCACTCCAGGCCTAGCTTGGATCCCAACCCTACAACCCTCATTCTTCTGAGGACCCATGACTCCTCTTCCCAGGGCTTGAACATCCTCATCCCAGTGTTAGACCGGATCCGATATGTGCAGAGTCTCAAGGAAATTGTCATCAACGTGCCTGAGCAGTCGGCTGTGACTCTTGGTGAGGGGTGCAGGGTGACACGGGTGCTCTGAGACCATTAGGATGTGGTTGCAGGAGATCCAGAGCTCAGGAGAAAGAGTTGATTGGAAATTGGAGGCCTGATTTTCCTCCTTTGCTCTCCCATTCCCGTACCTGTAGACAATGTAACTCTGCAAATTGATGGAGTCCTTTATCTACGAATCATGGACCCTTACAAGGTATCTGCTACTTGCTTTATTCAGCTTCTGAGTTGCTTTTCTCACTAAAATCCTGCACTCAAGCTTCTTAACACTATCCATGCCCTTTTCAGGCAAGCTACGGTGTGGAGGACCCTGAGTATGCTGTCACACAGCTGGCTCAGACGACCATGAGATCAGAGCTTGGCAAACTCTCTCTGGACAAAGTCTTCCGGGTAAGAGGATCTGAGCCAGAGTTAGTGTTGGAAGACACATATCTTGCACTCAGTCCTTTCTGGGGGTCAAGATCAGTCAGAGGCACTTCTCAGTTTAGACCCTTGATAAGTGGGTTGAAGCCATGGAATTTATACCTCTTTTTTTCCAGGAGCGGGAGTCCCTGAATGCTAGCATTGTGGACGCCATCAATCAGGCTGCTGATTGCTGGGGCATTCGCTGCCTCCGTTATGAGATCAAGGATATCCATGTGCCACCCCGGGTGAAAGAGTCCATGCAGATGCAGGTGGGGGCCAGGGAGGGATGGGGAAGAGGACTTCAGGATGCTCCAGTCTCATGGGGACCTGGACTCCCTTCCCTATCATGATGGGTACAATTGCAGGTGTTTATAAGAGTTTACTCTGGCTTCTTGTTGACGGGGCTTGTTGGGGGCTTTTCTAGGTTGAGGCAGAGAGGCGGAAACGGGCCACAGTTCTAGAGTCTGAGGGGACCCGAGAGTCAGCCATCAACGTGGCAGAGGGGAAGAAGCAGGCACAGATCCTGGCCTCCGAGGCGGAAAAGGCTGAACAAATAAATCAAGCTGCAGGTCCGCAGAGGGTAGAGGCTGAGGGAGGAGCAGGGCATGGACCTGTGAGGGTTGGTGCTGTGACAGGAGCTTTGAGGTACCCTGACCTCATGAGTAAAGCTTTGTCTCTTTTCTTCTAGGAGAGGCCAGTGCAGTTCTGGCCAAGGCCAAGGCTAAGGCTGAAGCTATTCGGATCCTGGCTGCAGCTCTGACACAACATGTAAGAGGCCTCTGGGTGGGAGTCAGGAACAGGAATTGACAGTGGAAGAGGTTTTCTCATCTACCCTTGGGAGAAGTTCCTGCTTTTGTGGGTTCCATTGAGCCAGATTACACGATCTCTTGTATTGTGATCTGCATTGTGATCTGATCCTCTTTCCAGGAATCTGACTTCTTTTTACTCCCCTCCCCTCCACCTACCCCCTGCCCCCACCTCCTTCTCCAAATCTGTGATCTGTGTTTTTATCCCTTCTGTGGCCACAGAATGGAGATGCAGCAGCTTCACTGACAGTGGCCGAGCAGTATGTCAGTGCGTTCTCCAAACTGGCCAAGGACTCCAACACTATCCTGCTGCCCTCCAACCCCGGCGATGTCAGCAGTATGGTGGCTCAGGTTAGAGTGCCCTGAGGACCCAGCACAGAACACCAATGCTAGAAACTGACCCTCCCATCACCACCATCACAACTTACACACCATAGAGGCCTTCCAAGTGCCCTGAGACCTAGACCTCCTGTTAGTCTCTGTAGAGAATAAATCTCTAAGAATGAGACACCCCCCCACCTTACCCCTGGAGATAGGGGAGCTCTTGAGATGTCTCTTTTTTTGGCAGATATCTATACCGGTATTCTGAGGGTGACCCTGTTCTGATAGTTTATAAGATTCCTAGAATCAACTCTAAAGTTTGAGTCTTGAGAGAGAAAGAGAGAAAGGAAAACAACCTTATTGGACCCAGCCCCACTTTTTTTTTAGTCATTGGTGGGTTGGGCTGTGCCTTCTGCCAGGTGTCCTCATGGCTCACTCTCTGTCCCTCTTCTTAGGCCATGGGTGTGTATGGGGCCCTCACCAAAGCCCCAGTGCCAGGGGCCCAGGACTCAGTCTCCAGTGGGAGCAGCAGAGATGTCCAGGGCACAGATGCAAGTCTTGATGAGGAATTTGATCGCGTCAAACTGAGTTAATGGAGCTGGGCTTGGCCAGGGAGGCTGGGGACAGGGAAACAGTACTCCCAGACTCTGGCTCTAGCTTCCCTGCCAAGATTTTGTTATTATTTTTTTATTTGAACTTTAATCATGTAATAAACTTGCCAATGGCAAACCAGAAACTGTTCTCTTTGATTGGGGAATGAAGTTAGGAAAGTCACCAGTGTTTTCCTTGGATATCCACTTCCATCCTCCAGTCCTCTCAGGTCTGGGAAGCTGATTCCTCCACCAGTAAGAATGAATGAACCTCGTGTAAATAAAATCATCCTTTTTGTCTTCAGGAGAAGCTTTGGGATAGGGTGGAAGGATTAAGCCACAGGTCTACTGACCTGCCAGCTGGGGAGTATAGTTCTCCCTCCTGCTAACTATGGGGATGTGAATTTGAGCAGGTGTTTGAGGGGATTGGTTTTACTTTAAGTAAGCTCCATGCCCAATGTGGGACTTGAGCTCACAACCCCAAGATAAAAAGTCAACTGCTTGGGGCACCTGGGTGGCTCAGTCTTTTAAGCATCTGCCTTCGGTTCAGTTCATGATCCTGGGGTCCTGGGATTGAGCCCCGCATCGGGCTCCCTGCTCAGCGGGAAGCCTGCTTCTCCCTCTCCTCCTGTCCCTTCCCCATTTCACATGTGTGTGCGTACTCTCTCTCAAATAAATAAAATCTTAAAAAAAAAAAAAGTCGCCTGAGCCATCCAGCAGACACCCCTGGGGGGATTTTTTATGGGAAATAGTACTACCCTGGCAGGATAAGTACTGCTGAATGCTTAAAGGGTTTTCAGGGACTGAAGACACTTATTCCTTCAAAAATGCCATGCTGTCTACCATGTGCCAAGCTCAGTGCTAGATGTAGGTTACAAAAGCTGTTTAGACCCAGTGGTTCTTGCTTTCACAGACTCAGGTTGGGCAGGGAAGACAGACAAGGAAACAGACAGATACAAAGTGATAAGTGCTAGGATAGAAGAAAGTTCTGATTGAGGGATCCTGGAGGGAAGTACATGTCAGCTTGTGGGCAACAAGGCTGCCAACTCTGCCATTGAGCTCAGGCTGGAAAAATTAATGTCTTCATCAGGATAGGGTTTGGGACTAGAATATGCAAAGGCCCACAGTTCCAGAGAAGTTGGAACATTCAGTTTGCTAAAGCTGAAGGGTGGGATATATGGGATATATTTAGGGTGTGTAAGAGGTCCAGGGCACAGGGAGATAGAGTACTGAAGAATTTGGACTCTAGCCTTAGGGTAAGGAGGGATCCATGAAGGGTTTGTTGTTTTTTTTCTTCCCCTTCCCAGGAATTCTTTTAGGAAGATTAAGGTAGTCACTTTAGTGTTTTAGATACATCTGTTCTGTTGCAATGGGGACAGGGTATTTGAAGGAGAGATGGGAAACTGAAGGACAGTAAGAAGGCGGCCTCAACAGTCCTGGAGGGGGTGATGAGGACTGAACTTCATGAAGTAAGGAGCCATCAGGTTGGAGGTGGAGGGATGACATTTTTCAACATATGTCTGAATTAGAATTTATTCATGTATCCATTTGATAACTATTGAACCCCAAATACATGCCAGGCACTAAGGATATAATAATGAAGAACTAAATTCCCTGCTCAATAAGTTTAAGTGTTTTTCCTTTTAAGGTTTTCTTTTTCTTTTTTTTTTAAGATTTTATTTTATTTTATTTTATTTTATTATTATTATTTTTTTAAGATTTTATTTATTTATTTGACAGAGAGAGACACAGCGAGAGAGGGAACACAAGCAGGGGGAGTGGGAGAGGGAGAAGCAGGCTTCCCTCTGAGAAGGGAGCCCGATGTGGGGCTTGAACTCATGACCTCAAGATCAAGAGTCTAGTGAGCTGTGCTATAGAAGAAATCAAAGAAAGGAGGGAGGTGGGGAATTGGGGAGGAGGCTGTAATCTGTAACATTAAGTAGAGCATTCCAGGAAGCCTCTGGATGTTACATTTGATCTTAGATATGGAGATGAGGGGAAGACCCATTTGGGCACCTGGGAGTAAAGCTGACTGGAGATTCTAAATGCGATGGCCTTTGAGGCCATTATAACTGGAAGAGCGAAAGAGCCACAGTAGATGGAACAGAGTTAAGGAAGCAAAGAAGTGGCAGCTAGATAAATCAGAGAGGGAAGCCAGAGCTGGTGTATAGACTTGTAGGGCCATGTAGGACTACTATAAGAACTTGGGCTTTACTGTGAAATGAAACCAGCGGAGAGGATTTTTGTTTCTAACAGTAACTTTACTGAGGGGCGCCTGGGTGGCTGAGTTGGTTAAGCGTCTGCCTTTGGCTCACGTCATGATCCTGGGGTCGCATTGAGCCCCGCAGGGAGCCTGCTTCTCCCTCTCCTCCTCACTCATGCTCTATCTCTGTCTCTCTCAATAAATAAATAAATTTTTTTAAATTTTATTTATTTGAGAGAGAGAATGAGATAGAGAGCATGAGAGGGAAGAGGGTCAGAGGGAGAAGCAGACCCCCTGCTGAGCAGGGAGCCCGATGTGGGACTCGATCCCGGGACTCCAGGATCATGACCTGAGCCGAAGGCAGTCGCCCAACCAACTGAGCCACCCAGGCGCCCAATAAATTTTTTTTAATAGTAGCTTTCCTAAGATGTAATTCACCCATTTAAAGTGTAAACTCAGTAATTTGTAGTATATTCAGAGTTGTGCAACCATCACAATTTTAGAACATTTTCATTATCTCATCTTCATCCCTACCCCACCACTAAAACCCTGTATCCATTAGCAGTCACTCCTCTCTTCCCCCAGTCCTAGGAAACCACTAACTTACTGTTTCTGTAGCTTTATGTATTTATGTAAATGGAATAATATAAAATGCTATTTTGTGATTGGCTTCTTTCACTCAATATTTTTAAGTTTCATCCATGTAATAGCACGTAGCAGTACTTCATTCCTTTTTATGGCCGAACAATATTCTATTGTATGATATACCATATTTTGTTTATCTATCTATCTATCTATCTATCTATCTATCTATCTATCAGTGAAGGCCATTTGGGTTGTTTTGCTGCTATGAACTGTTATGTGCAAGTTTTTGTGTGGATATAAGCTTTTCATTTCTCTTGGATTTATATTTAGGAGTGAAATTGCTGGGGCATATGGTAACTGTATACTTAACCTTTTGAAGAACTGCCACACTGTTTTCCAAAGCACCATTTTATAATCCCATAAGCAGTGTATGAGGGTTCAAATTTCTCCACATCCGTGCCAGTATTTCTTATTTGTCTTTTCTATTTTAGCCATCTTAGTAAGTATGAAGTGGTATTTCTAGTATTCCGCTGATGGTTAATGATGTTGAGCATCTTTTCCTGTTAATTGGTCATGTGTATATTTTCTTTGGAGAAAGGTCTATTCAGATCCTTTGCCCATTTTTATTTTATTTATTTTTTAAAAACATGTTTTTGTTTTAAGGTTTTATTTATTTAAGTACTCTCTACACCCAACGTGGGTCAAACTCACAACCCCGAGATCAAAAGTCGCATGTTCTTCTGACTGAGCCAGCCAGGCACCCCTCCTTTGCCCATTTAAAAATTTTATTTTATTTTATTTTTTTAAAAGTAGGCTCTATGCCCGATGTGGGGCTTGAACTCATGACCTCAAGATCAAGAGTTGCATGCTGTACCAACTGGGCCAGCCCGTTGCCCCACCTTTGCCCATTTTTAAATTGGATTATTTTTTCAATTACTGAGTTGGAAGATACAGTGAAAGATGTGAAGAGGAGAAATAATAAAATCTATCAGTTGGTGTCAGCTAAGCAAAAAGGAGAAAATAAATATTACTTATCCCTACTTTACAGATGAGGTAATGCCCAATAATGCTAGTGAGTGGCAGAGCTAGGATTCAAGCTAAGTTTGATTCCAAAAGGCCGCTCTTAGTCTTAACCAAGAATGACCAGTGCTTCCCTGAGCTCTTTTAGCTTAGTTCCTTGCCCCTAATTCTCCTAAGTTGCTATGATCTCTCATCAAACTCTCCGTCTGTGGCCCGCCCAGTGCTTCTTGCCGAACTTCTTCGGAGGCGCCGGCAGATGGCGCTGAGGCCCCCACAGGCCGCTCTGTCCGGCGTGCGCTTGTCTGTGGTGCCCGTGTGCTGGCGTTGTCGCTGCGCTTCCGGGCGTCGTTCAAGGTGAGCCAGGGTCTCCGAAAATCTGCTCGCACTCCGTACTCTTCACTCCCCTTTCCCGAAGGGAACCATTCCCCGCAGCTTGCAGCCTGGCGTGCCAAGTACCGAAGCCAGGGTACCCAAGAGAAGGCCGGGTATCCACCAGAGGAAGCAGAGCCGTCTGGACGTGTAGGTCCCCGCGAGGCCCCACCGGCTCTGGACCCTGCGACTCTGCTGCGCGGGGTAGGTCGCGACTCCGGTCTCCTGGCGATCCTGGCCATCTGGAAGCGGAGCGTGACTCCTCCCCTTGGTCCTCTTGGTCCCCACCAGGCGGCGCCGTCAGTCCGGCCCGGGTTCGCCTGCGGCTGCGAGCCCTGGCCACCCCAGGGTGTTGAGATTGGCAAGGAGAGAGGTGGAAAAATGAGCTGTCAGAGAGCATTCTACCACTAGGAATAAGTTTCCCTCGTGGACTGTGCTTTTCATCATTAGAATCTCCGGGAGTACAAGTGCAAATCCCTATGCTCCACCCCCAAAGATCCTGATTAAGTAGATCTGGGGTGAGGCCTGGAAATAAGCATTTTAGACAGCTGCTCCAGGTTGATGCCCATAGTCTGCGGACCTCACTTTCAGAAACACTGGTATAACTGGTGGAGAGGAACATTGTATTGGGTTGGCAATGGGGCTGTTTATCTTCCGGAAGGCTTCCAAGAGGAAGTGATTCTAGCTGGGCTTTGTATTGGGGGACCAGAATATCCATTGGTTCTTAACCTCACAGTGATGAATTCCCTCCCCGCTACCAGCAGGATGCAGAAGATCTCGGTGCTGCTCTTCCTGGCCTGGGTCTGCTTCCTCTTCTACGCTGGCATTGCTCTCTTCACCAGTGGCTTCCTGCTCACCCGTTTGGAACTCACCAATCATAGCAGCTGCCAAGAGCCCCCAGGCCCTGGGTCCCTGCCATGGGGGAGCCAAGGGAAGCCTGGGGCCTGCTGGATGGCTTCTCGATTTTCT